GTCACATTTGCCCTCTAGAAACATTGATATACCCCTCCCCACCCCACCCAAACACATACAGAGGGCGAGGTTGCTTTTTTCTATCTACACTGACCAGCACTGGGTACTGAAAAATTTTCTAGAAGGATGTCTTTTAATTGCATTATTAATGAGACTAGGGGCCCATCCAGCTGGGCTGGGTGGAGAGGGGGAGCATGGTAGGTTGGCCACCGGCCCTGCCCCTGCTTGGGGTGGGGGGGGCCCATCTGGGGCTGGGCCAGTGGCGGAGAGGGGCCGATCAGGGCCCAGATTGGGCTGGTTGGCTGCCACAGTGCGCGTTATAGCGACTGGTTGTTCCAGTTGTTCTGTCTTCTGGCCGCTTGGCTTTTGTATATATAGATTAAACATCTTTTCCTGTGGTTATTATTTTTTTGGTAAATCATTTATCTTATTTTGCTGGTGTATATACCTTTTTATTTATTAGCTTTCTAGAGGAATTTCAATGAGCAATTTTGAACCTGGTACAAATATTTTCCCCAGTTTGTTGTCTCTCAATTACAGTTCTTTCTTAGGGTATTTTTTTGTTTTGTTTTGTTCTAATTTTGTGGTACATAAAGCTGCATGCTTACCTTCCCGAAAGGTAGAGGAATTTGATTTAACTCTGCAGTAGCCTCCCTGTAATAGTTAGAATACTGACCCAATGTACCCCATCCACCCTTGGAATCCTTTCTCTTGACATTAGCTAAACCTGGGACACCAAATTGCTAAAGATTTTTTAAGAGACGATACCTTGGGGTATTCTGGTTAATACTGTCTGTGATTCTCGTCCTGGCCTATGCTTTCTCTGCTCGACTGTGCTCAGCTGTAACAGGGGAGTCTGGCAGGACACACAGCAACCTCCTCTCAGTTTAGGAGGGCTGTCCTGAGTATAGGGCTGCCCTTAAAGGCACGAGAGGACAATTTAAGATGAAGAAAAAAATATATAGTCTGTAATTTTTCAAAATATAGGGTGTCTGGCCTCTATATAAGTTTCCTTATAAGAAAAAAGATTATCAGGTCTTTATATTACAAAGAGTTTCTCTTTGATATAAAGAACTGGCAGTTACCTGTGGGCCTTACTAAAGTTTGATTTTATTATTTGCAAATACCTACCCTCATATGTTCAAAAGGAATGGGAGTGTGGTATAATTAAAATGCAAATAAGGTAACATGTTAGTCACATGTTAGTTAGCAGTGATTTTCAACTGCTGTGCCACAGCACATGGTGTGCCACAAGAATTTTCAAAACATGCAATACTGCTTCCTCAGGGGCACTGACCTCTTTTCTCTTAGATTAAAAAAATGAAAAAATGACAACAGCCAACACAATAGCAGTCCAGTGCGAATGAATAAAAATTAGACCTATTTTTGTCAGATCAGCAAAAAATATATTTTTTGGTGTGCCGCAGAATTTTAGTAGTTAATGTGTGCCAGGAGATGAAAAAGGTTGAAAATCACTGCTGTATAGTATAGCACACAAAACAATCTCTTTGGCCCTGACCGGTGTGGCTCAGTGGATAGAGCATTGGCCTTCCAACTGAAGGGTCCCAGGTTCGATTCCGGTCAAGGGCATGTATCTTGGTTTCGGGCACATCCCCAGAGGGGGTGTGCAGGAGGCAGCTGATCGATGTTTCTCTCTCATCGATGTTTCTGACTCTCTATCCCTCTCCCTTCCTCTCTGTAAAAAATATCAATAAAAGATATTTTTTTAAAAACCAACAAAAAAACCCCAACAATCTCTTTGGCTTTAGTGTTGGAACCCCCCTCACCGACTCCTATCCCATTTCTGCCCTGCTTTATTCTCTGCGTATCTTTCAGAAGGTAGGTCTGTATTGCATAAACGTTGAGATGGTGTATTTCTCACAAAGCCCCATTTTGTTTATGCACTTAGTGACATAAAATCTCACTTAGAGCTCAGAACCCATTGAAATATTCCTTCCATTTTGTAGTGAAGAAGGTAAAATCTAAGCCCCACTTGACTTCTGACATTTATTTCCCCACCATGGGTCAGAGACTGAATTTATGCAAACATTTCCTTATATAACTGAAACAGTTCTGCAAAGTTACAGTTTGGGATTTCTCTCTTGCGTCTATGATGATTGTCCTGAGTTTTTTCCCTGTGGGAACCACCTAAAATAATGTCACTAAAAGCTTATTCTAGATTTGATATAGTATCACCTACTGGAAATGATTCACTTAAGACCCAAGACCTTGATCCTCTACTCTTTGCTTCTATAGACTCTCCCAAACATGACATTTTATTTACTGCTTTCTGTCCCATGTATAATTTCTTTAGAGTTGATTTTTAAAAATAAGGAGTAATTTATTTTAATTTTTCTTTTTGTTTTTTGTTAATCTTCACCTGAGGATATTTTTTCCCATTGATTTTTAGAGAGAGTGTAAGGGGGTGGGGAGAGGGAAGCATTGACTTGTTGTTCCACTTACTTATGCATTCTTTGGTTGATTCTTGTATGATCAAACCTGCATCCTTGGCGTACTGGGACAACACTCTAACCAACTGAGCTATGGGCCAGGGTTCTTTCTTTCCAATTGCAATTGATGTTCAATATTATTTTACATTTGTTTCAGGTGTACAGCTTATTGGTAAGGCAATTATAATTTACAACGTGATCCCCCTGATAATTCTAGTGCCCTCCTAGTACCACCCATAGTTATTACAATGTTATGGACCATATTCCCTATCATCCCCGCAACTGTTTTGTAGCTTCTTAGCCCCTTCACCTTTTTCACCCCGTTCTCCCACCCCCTTCCCATCTGGCAACCCTTAGTTTGTTCTATGCATCTATGAATCTGTTTTCTGTTATGTTGTGTTCTTTAGATTCTACATAAAAGTGACATCATATGGTATTTATCTCTCTGTTTAACTTATTTCACTTGCAAGTAGTAAGATTTCATTCTTTTTCTATGGCCGAGTAATATTCCATTGTATATATAATTTTTTTAAAATCTATTATTGATGGGTACTTGCATGGCTTCGGAATTTTGGCTATTGTAAGGAACTCTGCATATATCTTTTCCAATTAGTGTTTTGGATTTCTTTGGATATATTCCCAGAAGTGGAAATACTGGGTTATGAAGTAGTTCTATTTTTAACTTTTTCAAGAACATCCAGTTTTCCATAGTAACTATAACAATTTGCAATCCCATCAACAATACAAGTTGACATATACTTCACTTTCTTATACTATTTAAATTCTAAACCCGGGACTCTTTCAGCGAAGTCTAATATGTCTGTAGCCTACCCACTACTAAGTTTGTGCACTTACACAGCATGTTTACTATTTATGTCAGTATTGTTTCTAATTGTCCCATATGTTAGTTATGTTTTAGCTACCAGCTTGAGGATATAGAGCATATTTTTATACCTGGAGCTTTCAACATAGGTAGGAACATGCTATTTGTTGGTTGGTAAATAAAACGTTGGATCTCATATAGTATAATCATAATTGTGGATAAGTAATACACTCTGCAATGATGAAACTTGTTATACTGAGGCAGACGGTCTGAGTTCATTTACTTGATGTTTATTATCATTTTGTTAATTCTCTGAGGATATTCTTTCCCATTGCTTTTCAGAGAGAGGGAGGGAGGAAGAGGAGAGAGAAAGAGAGAGAAACACTGATGTGGTGCCATGTCACATATAGAAATTTTTTGATCTTTGCAACCATAGTAAAACAAAGACTTATATTTTTGATATTTATTTTATATATTTAAATGCCATTTAACAAAGAAAAATCAACCAAAACAATGAGTTCGCGTGTCACCGATTTGCCATTGCTGGTCTAACCACTGAGCAAGGAGGAGGAAGAGAGAGAGATAGAAACATCAGTGAAAGAGAAACATCATCAATCGGCTGCCTCTTGGGGATCAAGTTCGCAACCCAGGCATGTGCCCTGACCGGGAATCGAACCTGTAACTACCTGGTTCATGGATCGATGCTCAACCACTGAGCCACACCAGCCCAGCTCAACTCCTTATTTTTGTTGTTGTTAATCCTCACCAGAGAATATTTTTTCCATTGATTTTTAGAGAGTAGAAAGCAGGGGGTGGGGGGGAGGGGGAGAAACACTTTTGAATAAATATTGTTTATAAGAAATATTTTGAGGGTTAATTATCAACTTAGAGAACAAGCAAAACCCTGCCTCATTTTCATGTCCCAGTGTGTCTTAGATGTGCTTTACATCTGAACGCTGGGAGTTCTGGCAGCCTCCCTACTTGTGAACCTCACAGTCATTCACCCAAAGTCCTTGTGCTTCTCTTTTCTTAATCTCAAACTAATGTTCTTCTCTCTGTACCCCTTACTACAAATCTAATCTAGGCCATCAATTTCCTTGATTACTCCAACAGCCTCCTAATTGGTCCTACTGTCTTGCCCTCTTCCAGTCCACAGTATACATAGAGCAATATTTGTGCTACATAATTCTGGCTTTTTAATTCCTCCCCACCCCCACCCCAGTGGTTCCTCAAGTTAAAAATCTAAGCATTTTTAGGAAGGCCTACAAGGCTCTGTGGACAGGACCCTTGCTTACCTTTCTAAACTATGCAAATGTCATCTTAACTCTGCTTCCATCTGTTCTACACGATTCAGCTTGGAGATCTCTATCAGAGCTTTCCTTAAATGTCTAGGCCAGGGGTTGGTAAACTGCATGGCCTGTTTTCTTTATGGCCTGTGGGCTAACAATGTTTTATATGTGTAAAATATTAAAAAAAAATACATACAGCAAAGACCATTTGTGGCTCAGACAGCACTAAACTGATAAGCTTTATAAGAGATGCGGTGCCTCATTCAGTTAGGTCACTGTCAGGTACTATGGTGCCTGGCAGTGCACTCTGCACCAATTTATCAAATATTTGACTAAATTTTATTTTTTTAATTTGTCCTAGAAAACAAGACACCAGGGCATGCTCTTCACGCTAATTCCGATGGGTAGTGAATATCTCATTTGCTTTTAAAAAGGATACACACTTGCAGGATCAGGTTTAATAAATTTGAACATGAGGCACAGGTTTCCAGGTGTATGTAAATACATCTTTATTTTCCATCTCTTTTTGCTTCTTCCATCTCTTAATCCTTTTGGACAGGAATGAATGTTTGATTTCCAGTTGAAGCTTGAACATCCTTAAATAGAGCGGAAGGTCTTTTTGGTTTCCTTTTAAGAGCTGATCATCAGAATTCTAGGACTTATTGCAGTAAATATTGTATTTCCTTTTTACCCACCTACCATTAGCTAGTTGTTGCCTCCTAGGTCCTGGAGAGTTTTCTGTGGTTAAAGGATGCTTTTAATTTCTGTATCAACACAGACTCTCTTTGTTGGTTTCTCTGAAATAGTATTTTCTTCTTCTAGTGTGTCATTACACTCCCTTTTGGCTTTTGTTTCTGTCTCATTGAATAAACGTGGGTATTCAATGCGTCCCCTACGTACGCAGTGCTGGATCCGGGATTCCAGTCCTTGGCATTTAGGACGATCCATTAGGGGCTTATATGTGCGCATTTTCACTCCTTCTACAAAGGCACTGGTCTGCTTTATGACAGAGGGCTTAACATTTCTCCATTCTATTACTTCATCCGTCTCTGTTCCTATAATATGTACAGTCAGTCATTACATGAATACTTTACCACAATAGAATCACCTCCAAACTTTATATAAATCTACCTCCCCATAACCATGTATAATTTTGGCACTGATAATTTTACCCGTGGATTTCCCTATCATACCTGTCCCACGGGGCACAGCAACAGACTCGAGTCCTTGCAGCATACTGTACAACACGTGAGTCTTAACAGCTTGATTAGCCCACTGCTGTTGTAGGTAGGTTATATTGAACTCCTGAACCTCCTGGTCATAGAGCCACTTGATATTTTCAAACTTACAGTCATACAAGACTAGAGGAAATTCTACAGCCATACTAGAGAGGAGACAAAACAGCATGAGAATACATAGCAGCCATCCAGCAGTTCTTGAAAAACAAGGTTAGTTGGGTTACAAGGAGGGGAAAACTCTGTCAATATTCAGTATCTAATAGTTAAGAAAATACAGCACTATCCTTAACCTTTCACAACATTATAACTAAAAAACAAACAAACAGCAAACCATGGGGCAACTGCTTGGTCTGTACTGGGGTGCATCTCAATGGTAACAAGTCACCTACAGGTGAGTTCCCTTGGCTCCACCATATGGCTATAAAATTTAAAACAGCTGGTGGTATTTTTCCAAACTAGTCAATTCTGCATAGTATGAAGAAACTTAAACATTTCACTGCTTAGGAATGAGTTATTGGTTTGTCTGACCTCAGCCTGTTCTCAAAAGGAAAGTTAGCTGTTTTTCCTACTTTTCCTACCATTTCAGAAACTGAAAATTAGGAAAAATTCCAAAGTAGTAGTATGATTACTCCATAATACAAAACAAGCAAGATTTAAATAGGAATAGTTTGAATGCTTAACTGTTTAATGTTAGCAGAACCTAACAATACTTCTTAACATAAATTCAATGGGGGTGGGGGATATAGAAATGAATGTGCTTTTATTTAAGAGGCCTGCTCCAAACACCTATTTCTTATTCCTGGGATAGGAGTGTAACAGGAGAAAATTCAAAGATACCACTCCCTCTTACATGTCCATAACATTTTACAAGTTAGACTAAAAACTTCATGAAGAAAGACTCAGTGACTTAGTTATTCAGACAATTGTGGGAATAGAAAGATACATTAGAATATATTTCAAAATAATCTAAAAGCAATGGCTGTTTTTTAATATATATTTATACTTAAATTTACCTGTATTGAGGTTTCTGGGGATTTTTCTCTATGTTTAGCAGCTCATCGATAATCTCTGGCTTCTCCATTCCTTGGCCAATCAGAAAAAGGATAGCCATCATACAGCGGACTTGATGATAAAGGAACGCCTGGCCAGTCACTTCAAACTGACATAACTGAAAAGGTTCTTGCCATCTGTCCTCGGCCAGACTCTGGCCCACTAGCTGTACTTGAGCAGACAGAATAGTCCTCTGAAAATTAATCACGCCATTGGCTACATCCATTTTACATAAGTTCCTAAAATCATGTGTGCCGACATACTTCTGAGCTGCACAGTTCATGGTTACAATGTCTAAATCAGCACGAGGGAAAAAGTAGCGGTAAGTCCGCTCAAGACAACTGAACCTAGCACTGAAGCTGGGCTCTACAGGGGCCCAGGCCAATACCCGGATGTCTGGAGGGAGCACCCGATTGAGAATGTGAGTATAACGGATCTCTTTGGCATCATCGTTGACTTCATCTTTCAAATTAAAATCCTCTGAATCCCTGCCCTTCGGAAAGTGAGAACGAAGGTCAAGAGAAATCACCTGTGGGATTAGAGAAAGCTAATCTGTTAGAGATACAAATAATGAGTCCTCAGTGTGTTCACCTAGAATATATTGGTGTTGCTTGCTTTGAGAAACAGTTCAGTGGTCCTTACCTGTCCAAAGGCACTAACTCCTTTGTCTGTCCGCCCACACCGGTGATACTTGGATGTCTGTCTGCTTTCTACTAGTCGAGTCTTCGTTAGAGCCTCAAACAGTTTCTCCTCAATAGTGTTGTTTGTGTTTTCCTGACTGGCAAAGCCCTGGTATCCCCAGCCCAGATAGGCTACCTTTAGGGCTACATGTCTTTGACCATGAGCACTGAAGTCAAATGCACGCTTAGCTTTTCTAGCTCCTGAAGAATTTTCTCTAGCATTTGAGATCTTTGTGTTGGCCTGTTCTTTTTTAAGTCTTTCTATCTCCTGCTCTAGTTCTTGTACTCTTTTTAGGAGTTTGTCAGTCTGGGTTCTGTCTCTGTCATTTTCAGCCATGATAAGACAACTCCAGGAATAAATGAATCATAAGGGTCCGCACTACCTGAAAAAAGAGTAAAAAGGATACAGTTTTAGTGTTGGTTCCTTTGATCATGTCAGTAGCTTTCAATTATGTTCAAATAGAATCTAAGAGTTAATTTAATGCCTTAAGTAGACTTTTGCTTTGCCCAGGGATACAAGATTACCTTAATTATTAGGGTTGACCATCCACAGATATTCTTTTTCATCTGTGTAGCCAATTTAAAGGGGAAAAGGAAAGTAGTATTAATAAATGTTTGGCTAGCATTGTTAAGGTTTCAATCGTCAGAATTTAGGGAAAATGACTGTAAATTTCATATCTCTATTCTGTAGCTGAGATGATTAGGGACTGTTGTTACTGATATTTTCCCCCTTAAACATTTCCTTTTGACTTCTCATTACATGTGTTGAATCTTTCCCATCAAAATCTGTTGATATGGCCCTGGTGCTGTGGCTCAGTTGGTTGGAATATCATTCTGTACACCAAAAATGTGTCTGGTTTGATTCCCGGTCAGGGCACATGTCCAGGTTGTGGGTTCATTCTCTGGTCATGGCACATGTGGGAGGTAACCAATCAGTGTTCTCTTTCTCGCCCTTCCTCTCTTTAAAAGTTTTTAAAAAGAGAGATCTTTTGATATGGAACATATGTCTACTGTGAGTGTCTATCGCTTCCCAGTATCAGATAAAACAAGTAGCTTACATGTCCTGTCATCTAATACGAATTTCTGTCTTAAAGGTGGTACAGTAGAAGCTAGCCTGATTGAAGAAATTTGTCAATGATTGTATTTATATTGGAAGTAGAACCTGGAGTCAAGATTTTCCCACTTTAAACCATTTTGATGGCAGAAAGAAGGTAATTAAGCATTGTGATCCTTTTTTAAAGTCAAATTTAATGCATGTTCTGAAAAAAAAATTATCTGAGGACAACTGTACTACATCCTTAAAAATGATACTAGACCAGGGGTGGGCAAACTTTTTGACTGGGGGGCCACAATGGGTTCTTAAACTGGACCGGAGGGCCGGAACAAAAGCATGGATGGAGTGTTTGTGTGAACTAATATAAATTCAAAGTAAACATCATTCATAAAAGGGTACGGTCTTTTTTTTTTTTTTTAGTTTTATTCATTTCAAACGGGCCAGATCCAGCCCGCGGGCCATAGTTTGCCCACGGCTGTACTAGACAATCTATGACTGATGGCTATTTTAGGCAGTAGAAGATCATCTACACATCTGTACTAAGGCTGACTATGTAATTTAAGTCTGGGTAGCTCGTTTTGTTTTTTGTCCTTTGAGTTTCTATATCTATGATAGATTAAAAGTTTACATTTAAAACATATAACTATAAAAGTGCTAGAAGAAAACATGAAACAACTCTGTTAAAATCTTAAGAGTGGGAAAGGGCATTTATGCTTGCACAAGTATGTAAAAATGTAAGATACACATTGTAACATTCATTTTTTAACAACAAAAGACTGTAAGCCTACAATAAATCTATCATGGACTAGCTGAAAGATTACAGTACATCCATACATTGGAATTCTATGCAACGTACTAGCTGTGTAATCTTGGGCTAAGGTATCTCATCTCTCTGACTCTGTGAAAAGATAATCAGAGTACCTACCCAGTTATGAGGATTGCATGAATGAATACTAGTATAAAGCACACAGAACAGTGTTGGATACATAAGTGTCCTTCTCAGTACAAGTTACATAATGGTCATTGAGCCCAATGCCCATTATCATGTAATCTTAAGCTTTTCTTATCCTAAAACTCGCCTGTCCTGTCCTGTGAGCTACTAAAGGTGGCAAGGGCTAGCAGGCAGTAGAAAGTAGGAGTGAATAAGAGGAGGGTGGAAATGAAAGCAGGATTCTCCAGCCCAGCTGGTGTGGCTCAGTGGTTGAGCGTCATCCTATGAACCAGGAGGTTAGGGTTTGATTCCCCGTCAGGCACAAACTGGGGTTGTGGGCTTGATCTGATCCCCAGTAGGGGGCCTGTAGGAGGCAGTCGACCGAACATCTCTCATCATTGATGTTTCTCTCTCTCTTTCCCTTCCTCTCTGAAATCAATAAAAATGTATTAAAAAAACACACAAGAGACCAATATTTGAATGTTGTAAAAAATAAAGCAGGATTCTCCAGAACTCAGTTAATGTCCTGCAAACTGTTCCCGTACTATCTTGTACTAATCTGTAATTTATTATTTAACTATTACAGTTATGATTGCCTTAGCTATTTTTCATTTCACTGACAAAAAGGGAGTGAACAGTTTGTGAGATAGAAATTTATTATTAGAAAACTGATCAGTGTTTTCTCTTGCAGAAAGCCCTCCAATGTGAGGGAAGCAATGGAGGAACTCATGGGACCTAGTGGACAAAACTGGGCCAATATGGATCCAGAAGAACAAATGTTAGCGGCTGCTACAGCTTTCACCCAGATCTGTGCAGGGCAGGGTGAGGGAGATGTCAGGAGAGAAGCCTGGCCTACCCAATATGATCCTTACAGCAAAGCTCCAGGAACCCAATATCCCTACAGCAAAGCGTCAGGAACCCAATACGATCCCTACAGCAAAGCTTCAATAACCCCAGGAAAGCAACATGCTCTTCCCATGCAACTGCAGTACCCACATGCGAAAAGTAACGTCACCTCAGAAACAGTCTCAGAGGCCTCCCAGAGACTCCGCAAGCCAGTGATGAAGAGAAAGGTGCTGCGTAGGAGGCCCGATGGGGAAGTATTAGTGACAGATGAGTCCATTATCAGTGAATCAGAGTCTGGTACAGAAATTGATATGGATCTCTGGGCTTTAAGACAAAGGCTGATTAACCTTCAGTTCCCGAAAGACAGTGAGTCCCCTGTTGATACTTCAGAAAAACTTCATCTACCACATGAATACCAAGATGAGCTCAATGGCTATCTACAAAGAGAAGGAATGGGCCCTCCAGCTTATGAACAAGACCTGATAGTTGCCAGCCGACCAAAGTCCTTTATTCTCCCAAGGCTGGACCAGTTAAGCCGAAACCGGGGCAAGATAGACCGGGTAGCCCGCTATTTTGAGTACAAACGAGACTGGGACTCAATGCGATTACCTGGTGAAGATCACAGGAAGGAATTACGCTGGGGTGTCCGAGAGCAGATGCTTTGTCGAGCAGAACCCCAGTCCAAGCCTCAGCACATATATGTTCCGAACAATTATCTAGTACCAACTGAAAAGAAAAGATCTGCCCTTTGTTGGGGTATTCGTTGTGACCTTGCAAATGGTGTCATGCCCAGGAAGCTTCCCTTCCCTCTTTCTCCGTCTTAAGTCTTTTTTTTTTAAACCTCTCACAGGATTGTTTGGGATAACATGGCATTTTATATCTTTTATTTAAATAGAAACAACTAGAAAGACCATGGTACATTATAGAGTAAGGACTTCACCCATCATTGGTTTTTCCTAGGAATATATCACACTGGTGCCAGGTGCCACTTAACTGCCAAATTACCACTCTCAAGCCCAGCAATGCAAGAGAAGTCACACCAGAGGAAGAAAACACCTGGTCTCTCTACTGCCAGATTAGTAAGCAAAGTCAGCTAACACTGTTTCTGCTCTGTATTCTCTTTACCTTTGACCAGCGTGAGTTGCTGTTTTTAATAGTGTGTTTTTAAAGTTGCTGGGCATTAAGCTTATCCATTAAAGAATTTTGGAAATTTGTGGACTTGACCTCATTTTTACTTAAATACTTGCCAAAGTAAGACGATCTCAAACCTGAGTGACGAGTTTGCTTCCAGTTGTACTCCCCATCATACTCTCATCGCCTAAACAATGCGAGCCAGAGGGAAGGAACAAAACCTGCCCTTCACACACAAACCTAAAGGGAAGAAGAAAGGAACAGCACAGCTATCCTCTATTAGTAAATCCAGAGAACTGTGTTAAATATCTTAATAGGTGCTCAACAGCTGCACTATTTGACATACAGGATTCTAGCACAAGCTTTGTTTCAAAATTATTGAAATGTTTTGCCCAAACTTTTATAAGTTGCCATTGAGGTTGTCTTAGAAATATGCCTGTCACTTGAAGGCTATTCCCACTCTGCAACAGAACTTCAAACTGCTAACATCTGGAACTAGATGCAGACAAAAAAAGTGAATCTGACCTATCTGGGTACAAACCAAAACACTAATTCTGCTCGCTTAAATTGGATCTTCTTGTTCTTATTCTAATCCAATGAGGAACAACTACAAACTGAAGATTGTCCATTTTAACATAAGACAAGAGTAGTGATAGCAGGAATAGTTTGCTCGTTCCAAGAAAAACAGCTATGTGACAAAAATGAATAACCTCGACCTATCTGCTAAAATACATTTTCTCCATAATGTTTAAACTACACCATTCATTCATTCAGTTCCATCTCTAGGGCATTTTTCAGCAAAATAATCAGTAACTCAAAGACGTACTGCAAATAAGTAAAAACTAGTCACAATGGTGAGGTTATTGAGTAGAACATTAGTCATTGAGAATCATGGGAAGCTAATGGGAAATGCAAATTAAGTGAAAAATAGTTTGCAAATTATGCAGTAGAATCTCAGTCTTACACTCTCCCTCCTTTCCCCCCCACCCCCACCCCCACCACCACACACCCCCAACAGACACAGCACAAGGAAAGATCAAAACCTAACATTGGGTAGTGAGATTAAAGGTAGTTTTTATTTTCTTTAAATCTATATATTTTTAAGAGTTAAAAGCCACATACTTTTATATGCAAATTACAGCAAAATGCTCAAATGATTTACTTTTATTTATCTCAAAGCCCAAATCAGAAAGTTTTCGAAGTGATTATCTAGTTCAACCCTTTATTTAACCAAAGAACCAGTCCAAAGGGTGTAAGGGCGGAGTAATGAGATTTGTGGCTAGAGAAGGAGGAGAGCCCCAGTCTCCTGAGTGAGTACAGCGCTTTGTCCAGGACAACATACCCTTCTCTGGGTGAAGTGCAGTTCCCGAGCGGACACCTAACACCGGGAAGGGGGCTGCCAAATGACCACACACAGGTATTCGTGCGTGCGCCACGCATTGCCAGTAAGCGGTAAAGCAGTCATTGTGTTGAACTTTTTTTTAAAGTTAAAAAGATTTTAATCTCGAAAATATTAGTAACTAGTGGAGTAGTAGAAAGGGCATTCCCATGATAAATTTAACTCTAAACCAACGAGGGAAGGAGGGGTAATGCCCACAGGATCAGGAAACCGGAACCTCTGATCACTAATATCGGAGAGCAATCCCCCAAACGACCCGAAAAATGTCGCCATGCCTTCCTCCCACCCCACAACCTACCGGGATGCCGCCCAGTACCAGCAGTTTGTTTTATGAGCAAACAACTCTCACCGAGGCAGCAGAAGCTTCACTCCACAGTCCAAGGGCCCTCCAAGAATCGAATTCAAGTAACAGCTCCTGTGGCGAGTTTCCGCGAGGAGCTCCAAGAAGCACTAAACACACACACAGGTCCCACTGCCGTAAACCGGCACTTTCCTGGAAAGATCGAGGTATGAAAAGGGAGCGGGGAAGAGAGAAAGGTCCAACTACCTGTCCATTCGTCCGTTCCTCTTCTGTAGGACCCAGAAAAAAACCCACCCCCAAGCCCCACGTTTACATTCCGATCTTGGGCCAAGAGGCTTTTCGCGAAACAGGAAGCTGTCAATTTGCGTTTCCCGGGCGCGCTCCGGGGCTCATGGGAGTTGTAGTCCAGCTTTGTGGGAAATGTAGTTCTAAGAGCTGGGGTGCAAGCTTGACGTGGAAACCAGCCTAGTGTTTCCCAGTCTGACCACCGTTTCTCCACCTCAGGCCTGGCATAGTACAAGAACAAAGAGACAAATGGTAGTGCGCTAAAATAATAGATCAGTAACTATTCAAAGGTCTGCCACCTTTATACGAAAACTAAAAGAACCTGGCTCTGGCTCAATTACATACCTATTTAAATTCGTAGAAAGTTACCACTGCGAGACAAAACAAGAGGGGGAAAAAAAAAACAGACAAAAAAAAAGTTTACTGCTAGAACCCAATGTAAGAGCTGAACAGGATTTAACAGCTGGGAATCTGGCTTCAGCACCACGGAGAGAGTATAACTAGAGTTTTGTAGGTTTTTCCAGAGACTGGTCCAAATCTCAAGATTCCAGTTAGAAAAAAAAAAAAAAAAAAAAAAAAAAATCTGGTTCTTTTGTCAAAGTCCAGCAGTCAGTAGAAGGGTTATATCCCAGATTATGCGGTGCCGGGAGGAGGTGGTGGCTGTACCACGAGGGACAGGTTTCCCAGGACCGCTTTAGCTAGGGCTCACATCAGAATTAGCCGGTCTGTGCAGGCATCACAGGCATCTAGGAGCAGAGGCGGAAGTTAGGACCTGAAGGGCTTTCCTTCCCCCTCTGCATCCACCGCGCTGGACTTCAGTTGTCAGATGAAACGTACCCTTTTTGACTATCCATTTTCCCAGCAGTTCGCAGCCTTTCCGACTTCTTGTCACCTAGAAGCGGAAATTGGGGGGAGGGGGGGTGTCAAGGGAGGTGGTTGGGAGCTTGATGCGGGGCGGGGGTCCAGCCTGACCACCTAGGAAATGACCTGGGGAGTGAGTGGTGGGGTGAGGGACGTAGGACGCCCCCATCAGTACGAAGATTGTTGCTGCTCAGAACCTCAAGCCGCGGTGACCCTATCCGAGCTCAGCAGCGGGCGCGTGTCCCCTGCGACGGCGCCCCTCCCCGGCTTCAGCACCCGGCGCGGTGCGGGGCTGGCCAATCGGCACCCGGGCTGGCACTGTTCTCCCGCGGCTCCTCCTCCCGCGACCTCCCGGGACCCCCCAACAACCCCGCTCCTCCCGGGACACCGCCCCCCGCTGCTCCCGGGAGCCCAGGCGCCTGCGCCGGCGGTGGTCGCGGCACGTGAGCCGGCCCCGGAGGAAGCCCATTGGCCGCTGGGCGCGGTCCGCCCTGCCTCCCGCGCTGGACGCACGTGCTGGGGTCGGAGCGGCGATCGCAGCCATGGCGTCGTCACTTTGGGGAGGCGAACAGGGGGCGGCAGAGAGCGAGCACCTGAACAGCCACGTAACCGCCACTGACCCGGAGGGCAGAGGGGCGGGGGCCGGGGCTGCACTCCCAGGGGAGATCTGCGGGGCGGGGGGCGGGGGGCGGCGGGACTTGGGGGAGCTGTGGAGTGTCCAGTGGTGGAGGGGAGAGGTGGAGTGGCAAGGACTTGGAAGAAGACCCCGGAAAAGGAGACCCAGAGAGAGACAAGACCTTTGGATTGAAAGGGCAAAATGAAGACACCTGGCAGCCCCGGGAGGGCAAGCAGGTGGTAGTCCCAACCCGACCCCGAATTTTCTCCTCTCCCACTTGGATCCTTAAGCCTCGCCAGCTTCCTCCCATCCATCCACCAACGCGCTTTCCTGCCACCATCCTTGGGTCGGGTGCGATCCCCCAAGGGACTGTCCCATTTAGAGTGGAGGGGCCGCAGACAGTCTCCCCCAGTTTTAGGGCAACTCATGCAGAACTGTTCCTGAAAGGAATCTGCACCTACCATTGCACAGGAAGCAGTATTGGGTGGTCTTTCCTGCGGCCCTTCCAGCTCCTGTTAGGGTTAGCATGGGGCTTCTTGAACTCCTGCTTGCTAATAGCGGTTGAAATCCGTGTCTTTCGCTAGTTTTCAAACCTCATCCACCCCCGGAAGAACCTTCGGGGAGTTAAGAATACTACAGTCCCAAACCTAGGTAAGTGCTGTCGGGTAAAGCAGACTGTTCTCAGTGAAAGACAGATGCGTTCCTCGTGTCCCTGGCAACTGGTATACATTTGGCTCCCTTAATTTAGCATTCCAGCCCTCCAGTCTTTCTTTTTATGTAAAATTTTTTTTACTGATTTCAGAGAGGAAGGGAGAGAGAGAGAGAGAGAGAGAGAGAGAGAGAGAGAGAGAGAAACATCAGTGATGAGAGAGAATCATTGATCAGCTGCCTCCTGTATGCCCCCTACTGGGGATCCAGCCTGCAACCCCGGGCATGTACCCTTGACTGGAATCAAACTGGGACCCTTCAGTCCATAGGCTGACGCTCTATCCACTGAGCCAAACCAGCCAGGGCTTTAGGTGCTCCAGTCTTTTTACCAACTCCTCCCCTGGACAACCCTTGCTGCCGGCGCACGCTGTGGAGTCGGCAAGAGAAGTTGGGATAAGAGACTTCACATTTCTGCTCAGCACTTAACCTTTACACCTGTTGTTTCTCTTCCATCCTTTTCAGATGATTCTATGAATAACACAGAAGAAGATGAAGTAGATGTAGGTAGGAGATAAATTCATCTGCCTGTATCCACTGTCATTCTGCTTCAGCCACTCATGGCTGTCATAATGTGAACAATGTATTGGAGAACTGTCGTTACTTCTCTGTCTTTATAAGGAGTGAATAAAAGGAGAAATACTAGATTAGGAGCGGGGTCTATTTCTAGAGGAAGCTGCGATGGAAAATGTAGGAATGGGCTAAGTCTTAGTGGTTGGCAAACTCATTAGTCAACAGAGCCAAATATCAACAGTACAATGATTGAAATTTCTTTTGAGAGCCAAATTTTTTAAACTTAAACTATATACAGTGGGGTCTTGACTTACGAGTGTCCCGACTAACGAGTTTTTTGAGATACCAGCTGTCTCTCCGCCGATTTTTTGCATTGAGTTGATAGAGTAATTTGAGTTAACGAGCTCGGTCTCGGAACGAATTAAACTCGTAAGTCAAGGCCCCACTGTAGGTAGGTACATTGTTATTAACTTAATTAGGGTACTCCTAAGGCTTAGGAAGAGCCACACTCAAGGGGCCAAAGAGCCGCATGTGGCTCGCGAGCCACAGTTTGCCGACCATGCGCAGTTAGCCGCTAAGACTTTCCAGCTGGCAAGGAAAAATTAGGTCTGGTGTTGAGGGCTGTAGACTTGCTTGAAGTTAGAGGTTGGTATAGCAGCCGAGCATAAGAAATTGGGTCCTCGTGAAAAAAAGGAATTCTCAGTGCTGTGTCATTTTTTTTTCTTTTTAGAAGAAAGAGTAGGAGCAGTTGCTTGATATCCACTGAATGGAGGGAGCAATTATTAGCTGTCATTTAGGAAGCCTGAGTCCCCCCCTGCAGTATCCCCTTTTTCATTCTTGCTTTTGTAGTGGATTTGGCTTCCAGTTCACTCTTAAACAAGTTAATCCGACAGTCCTTAGTAGAATCCAGTCATCGAGTCGAAGTCTTACAAAAGGATCCCAGCTCTCCACTCTACTCAGTGAAGACATTTGAAGAGCTACGTCTGTGAGTACTTTCACTCTGGGTGGGGAGATGCTGGGAAGCATAGCACAGAACAAACTCACCTGCTACTAATAAACCCGCCAGGATCTCCTTTGTGTTTAATCAAATATTAAAATGAGACGCATACATTTTGAGTGCAACTAAAATATAGCTCAGAGGGGAATACCTGCATTGTTCAACAAATGGAGAACGTTTGTTTTTTAAAAAATATATTTTTATTGACTTCAGAGAGGAAGGGAGAGGGAGAGGTAGAAACATCAATGATGAGAGAGAACCATTGACTGGCTGCCTCCTGCACACCCCCTACTGGGGTTCAAGCCCGCAACCTGGGCATGTGCCCTGGCCGGGAATCGAACCCTGATCTCCTGCTTCATGGATCTGCATTCAACCACTGAGCAACACTGGCTGGATGAGAACATTTCTGATGGTAAAACATTTTCATCTTGCTGTGCTAAGGGAGACAGCTAAGCCATATTACTGCTTCTCCATAGCAGAATACAGATAGGGGAACACTGATGACCCAGATACCCTCCCCCACCCCTTTAGATGAATTATAAGCTTTTCTCTTTCTAATTATATTTAGTTTCAAATGGCATTAAAATGAATATCTTTCCCAAATGGGTTTGCATTTCTTAGGGATTTGTCAGTTGGCATTAAGGAAATGTAGTTTATCGATATGGACTTACGTAAAGAGGAAAACTCCAAAATTCCAGTGTCCAGACATTTTCTAAACGAGAGGAGAAGCCTACCTATGATTAAAAGCTGGCTGCCAGCCCTGGCTGATGTGACTCAGTTGGCTGAGCATCGTCCCGTGCTCCAAAAGGCTGCTGGTTCGATTCCCAGTCAGGGCACCCAAAAGGAAAAAAGTAATCTACCGACTAACCTGCCAGTTAAGCACATCAAACCGTGTGTGCTATGGAAGATGGAAGTGTTCCAGCCCACTCCTCTTTTCCTCTCTCTAGCATCTGTCATGAAACTCCAGGGAAAAAGCACTTAAAAATACTGGCTCAGAAGGACGAGGTGATAGTGTCTTCTGCTCTGAGACAGAATTGACAAAAGAACCACGTAAATAGCTGGCCAGCGTGGCTCAGTGGTTGAGCATTGACCTATGGGCCAGGAGGTCACCGTTCGATTCCCCACCAGGGCACATGCCCGGGTTTCGGGCTAGATCCCCCCTGGGGGACGTGCAGGAGGCAGCCAATCAATGATTCTCTCTCATCATCAATGTTTCTATCTTCCTCTCCCTTCCTCTCTGAAATAAATAAATATATATATATATATAAATTTTTTTTTAAATCTTTATTGTTCAGATTATTACATTTGTTCCTCTTTTTTCCCCCCCATAACTCCCCTTCTCCCAGTTCCCGCCCCACCCTCCGCCCTCATTCC